TTATTAATAACAAATTTATAAAGGGGTTGTAAAGACTGAGTTAATATGTAAAATGCTTAGAAAGTACTTGGCTCCTAGTAAACAAGATTAAGGTAATAATTCATCACTCATATGCTACTCTTATTATAAGGATCCATTTTTATAAGCCCTTTGTCTTTCCGTTTCTACTCTGTCGTTTTGACACTCCTTATAGAGGAAAGGATACTTGGCGGTCAAAAGTAAATGCTTAGAACAGTACTTGGCTCCTAGTAAACAGGATTTGTAGAGGAAAAGACACTTGGAGGTCAGAAGACCTGAGGCTATACAGTTCAGCTATCAATTCTTATCTGAGTGAAACTGGGTGAGTTCCCAAACATCTGTGTTTTCCTCATTCATTGGATGGGGGAACTTAATTATACCTACCTCACCCAGATGTTCCAAGGATCAAATCAAAGAATGTATGTTGAGTTACAACCTCTTCTGTTTAGATTTCATTTACCATCTGATCAAGGGTTCTTGAGCAACTGGCCTCAAAACAGAGTGCAATGGAAAGCCAGGAGGAATGGGGGTGGGGGGCTGCTGTAGGACACTTGAATGTTATTTTCTCTCCTTAACCTACAGCCATTCAAGAACAGCAACAGTCTCAGACCTTTGCTAGGCTAGCGTTCTACTACGGGCTACACTCCCAACCCTATTTTTCAAAAAGGAGACTTTGCTTATGAAAAATTTCCATATGAAAATTCCTTTTGATTTGGGCATTTCTATAGCATACGATGTTACTCAAAGTATAAAATACCGAGGGAGGCCAATCACAAAATTTGGTGGAATTTTCAATAACCCTAGACATTGGCTGCAACAATATATCGGGCCCCTTTTTTCATCGGTAAAATAGGGGCAAGATCTCTACAAAACTGTGTAATTAAATACGACTAAAGACTGAGGGTAAACCTACCACATCCTAGTGCCTTAAATAAACCCCTCCTCCTCCTTATCTTTGACAGATATAGCAGGAGATGTCACTATCGTTCCGACTTCACAGATGGAGGTACCCGAAGTCGAGAGTGCTCCTGTTCTCTTTCTGTAATTGCAACTCCGTAAACCCAAGATCTGGGTAGGGACAACTGTGATGTTCACTGTATCAGTTGTTAGCTTGGATTACCCTCTCCTCGAGCTGTTATCTGGGTGGCTGAAGGCCGGTGATAATTGCCCCCACGACTCTGAGGAACCCCGTCCTGATCATTAAGTGCGCTTCAGGGATCAACCTGCACTCCTATAGCTGCCAGTTTCGCTGGAAACAAGGTACTTAAGAAGCCCCAGCATCAGCCACCGTCGCCATTTTGACAGCTACGTATGACGCCACACGTAGCAGAGAGTACATCCGATTGGCTGGAAGACGGCAGCGGAGGAGAGGCGCGCGAAGCTAGAGTGTAGCGTATGGAAAAGGCAAGGAACTACACTCCCAGACTTCCTTGCGCGTGCGACCCAAAACCGGAGTGAACGAAGACGGAGTTTTGATTCGGACCACAACTCCCAGCAGTCCCCGCGATGTTCGCTCTTTCAAAATGGGGAGGAAAAGAGGGACAGGATGAATGGAAACCTTTTGGTGCCCTTTTTGCGAAAGGCGGGAAAGGCAAACTACACCTCCCGACTGCAACGCGCGGTTGCGCCTGCGCTCTGGTACCTGTCGCCATCTTGCCCCTTCTGAGGCACCGCAAACAAACCCAATTCCTGGTGTCCCTAGTCTTGGCGGAGGAGCCTTTTAGATGAGCCCCGAAAGGCCGGGCAGGTGGGTGACTCCCAGGCAAGGTCCTGGGAAGAGCTGGCAGGCCAGCCAGGATAGGGGAACGCGGGACCAGGCATTCGGAGTCCGGCTTGGGGCCCAGCCCCATCCTCCGTTGTTTCCTAACGGGATCGTGGGGCTCCCGGAGGTTGACTCCGGGACTGTGGTAGGCCTGGTGCTGTGATGCCGGGGGGTCCAGCTCTGGGAGCCTCCGGGTGGGTCCCCGGCGTCTGGCTGACTGTCCGCGCGCCTACTCTGTCCCTGTTGTCCTCTCCGTCCTGGAGGGAGCGAGGCGCGGACGCCGGCCGGCGCCCCCGACACCGGCGCTGGCCGGAGGGACTAGGGTCGCAGGCTTGACATTGGGATTGGCGCTGAGAGGCGCGGGCGAACAGCCTGGGCGGGCTGCTCTTGCTTGGGTGCTGCGAGAGTGCGTGTTTGTAGAGGGGGCGGGGCGGGCTGGCCTCCTGACACTTGATGGGGAGGGATTCCTCGAGACCCCGGGTTTCGAGCGGGAGCCCGCCGCTCCTGCCCACAGTGGGGTCCTCTGGCCGGGATGCGTTGGGATGCCGTGACGTGGTGCTCGATTCCGGCGGTCGCCCGCCGCCTCCGAGATCCTATCGGGAGGCGGGGACAGGCTTGTGGAGCGAGCGGATTCCTTTGGCTCTGCCCCTTCTTCCTCCTCTCCACCCCTTTTCTTTATGTCATCCTGCCAGCTGGGGCGCGCAGTCCTGTTGGGCTTGCTCTGGGTTGGTTCTGAGCTGAGAGCACTGTGGGAAGTAGGAGGGAGGGGGAGTTCAACTTGGGGCGAAGAGTTGGAGTTAGCAGCCCAGAGCCTGGAACGCGATATAGCAGTTTTCTCGGTTCAGCGTTTAACTTCATGGCTCGACTGTGAGATCATTCATTCATTCATGCATGCATTTTACTTCTCCCGCCAACCATTCATTTAATCATTTAACAGATGTTTTCAGAGGGTCTCCTGCTAGGCAGGTATGGGTAAGCCCCAAGCGCTGTGTCTTTTTGGCCTCTATACTAAGAAATTCCCAGGAGAGGTTCTTCGCACCTAAATTTTTGGTAAATGGTGGTTTCATAACTACAGGGTCTAAATTCATATTTCATTGATAAGACCCGAGGAGAGTCTTTATTGAGTTCCATGAACTCCTTAAGTAATGTGCTAGGACCTTTACTTATTTTATCTTGTGTAACTTACTAGTGAGGAAGCCGAGAGAAGTAACCGCCCAAGGTTGCACAGGTAGAAGCATCCACTTATTAAGTTGCATGCCAGCACTATGAAAGAACTAGGTACACACTCATCTTTAATACTCAACCAACTGGGTGAGATTATCTTTCTTTTAATAGATGTGTAAAACTTGGGTTCAGAGATACCAAGTTACCCAGGATCACACAACCACTAAGTTGAAAATCTGGAAGCAGAACCTAGAGGTGTCTGACTAAAACTTGTGCTCTTTCCACCGTCACAGGCTGGAATAATAAGCTTTCGTATGGTGCTTTAGTTCTTCATTTGTCAGAAGTTGGAACACTTGGAGGTGAAAAATGATTGTGAGATATTTTATTAGTTTTACTTCTTAGCCTGTGGATAGATCTTTAGGTGAGTGACCTTTTGGGTGAATATAATACGATAATTTGATGTTTTGATTTTTCCTCTATAGGGAGGACAAGCTCTTTGGGGCTACCAAACAGAAGCAGCAATGCCTGTTGTGTGGCCAACCCTTTTGGATCTCAGCAGGGATGAATGCAAACGGATTCTTCGAAAATTGGGTATGATTTTAATTTTGATGTTTTATACTTCTCTATGATACTTTTCCCTTTCTTTTTGGCTTATGGTTGTTTGCAAGGATATCGTTTCTCATGACACAGTAGAAATTCTTTGAAGGTATAGTCTCCATTTTTTCTCAGTGTTGTTTCCCTAGTATCTAGCGTACTGATTTGTATATGAATCATAGTACAAGCAGCTAAGACTCAAATGAGAACTTGTGTATTCTGAGTCCTTTGCATCAACATCTCACTTACTCCTCACTCAGTACTAAAGAGTAGGTTTTTTTTTTCCAGTTTGTTTTTGGGGTCCTCATTTTACATATGAAGTTTAGAAATCAAGGTAATGGCAACAGTGAGTCATGGAGTCAATATTTGACCTGAGGGAATATGATTTTTTTGGTCTCATTTTATTTAGCATATTACTAACCTTCATGGATGTGTGTGTGTGAATTACATACTATTTCTAAATTCTAAGTTAACGCAAACTATGCCTACTTTCCCAAATTATGTTTTGTAATCAGTAACAAAACATACTTTACACTTACAATGGACTATTTATTGCTTATTTTCCCTTTCAGCATCCTTTCTCAACCAGCATTTAGAGAGAGAATTAAACCCTAATGCTAAGGATCCATTATATGTAATGAACTACTCCCCATGCATCTAGAATGATAATAGTTATGTGCCCTCCTTGCAAAAATTGAGAAAAAGAGTTACTTAAATAATTTTCTGGTTCAGATGAAGAGCCATGGTTGAGAAATGCTTGTGTAGCCTGAAGTCCAACAAATAAATGTTAAAATAATTTCAAAAAGAACATTAAATGTTTTGGGAGTAGGCATGAATTGTTTAGATAAAGGGCATATCATAGTGCCTGACACCTGAGAGTATCACATTTATAGCAGCTGCTTTTAGACATATTTATTTGTTGCTAAATCTTTGCTTCAAAGGAAATTTTTGTTGGAAATTTCTTTGTGTAGATCAGACAGAATCATAGCTACTCTGGACCTGCCTGCTAATAATTTTGCCCCTTTTATTTCTCCTCAGGCCACTATGAGGATTTCAGACTACTTCTTAGCCTTGTATTTTAGCAAGTCAAAAAGAATTTTCTCTCTCTCTCTCTCTCTCTCTCTCTCTCTCTCTCTCTCTGTGTGTATGTGTGTGTGTGTGTGTGTGTTGTGTTGGGAAGTGTCAGTCATTCCTCTTTTTTAACCTTATATCTAAATTTATCACTATCTGAAAATATTTTCTGCACATATGCAATGAATATAATTTGCTAGCTATTGATTATAAAGTTGGACTCATTTATTTCACAGTTGAAATAATTGCAGATTGGATTGGCAGTTCTGGGTTTCTGGGGCCTTGCGCCAAGGGATTATGTTTAAATATAAAAATGGTAACCTATAGGTCTAAATTTATCTCTAGCTCTTCCTAATGGTCTGAGGTGCCCTATGAAAATGGTCTGGGGACTGGCAGAGTGGCTCAAGTGGTAGAGCGCCTGCCTAGTAAGCATGAGGTCCTGAATTCAAATCCCAGTCCTGCCACAAAAAAAAAAAAAGAAAGAAAGAAAATGGTTTGGTATTCACTTGACCCAGAACACCCTACAAAAGCATATGAACCAAGAGGCTAAAGTTTTGGCATTAACTTTAAGACTGAATATCCATGAGGCTGTCCAGGCTTTCAAGGGTGTGCATATCTGAGAGTTGTCCTTTTATAAAAGCAGTATATACCATTCTATTGTTACAGTGGTGGAGTTAGTTGTGTGCCCAGGCCAAATAGTAGAGCTGGGCAGAGTATGTGGCTCTAGAAAAGTGCTGAATTTTTTCCTTCAAATGCTTTAAAGTGCAGAAATGCTGAACTTTTGGGTTTAGATGCAGGTTCATTGAGCACATCCAGGTAAACAAAGCATCCAAGATGGGTTGTAGCACTTACAAAGCTCTGGGGAAGTTGAACCAACCATGAGCTCCCATGTCACATCAAGTCAGTTCTTACTGAAAAGAGGATCCTAATTGTTCCTGACCAGAAGAGGAGATTGCATGCAGAAAAAAATATCAGAAGAACCTGAAGAAACAAAAACTTACGATGTAGGAATGAATTCAGGATAAAATAAATGTAAACAAATATTAAAAATAAATAATAATAGATATCCCTAATTTTAGTCAGAGCTGTGTGGATAATGGTGCTGGAGAGCTGCTTCTCTTCAAAACAAAATAGCCATCCTATGTGGTAATGTAATCTTTGGTGACATTTTGGGAGGTAAGCCTTGATAGTGATTCGCCAAAAGACTTCCTCCTCACTGGTTAATTCATTATCATAACAATGAACCTTTGAATTGCCTTCAAACTCTATCTCCTGGTCCAAAGTTTAGAGAAGTAGCAGCTTTTGGCTGATGGATTGGCTCAAGTGGTAGAGTGGAAGCTGAAGGCCCTGAATTCAAACTCCAGTACCACCACCAAAAAAAAAAAAATCAGCTTCAAGTTAGGAATTAATTTGATCCTTTTGGAAAGAGTTATAAATCATTTTAATGTAAGATGCTAAGCAGATTTTGCTTAATTATCAAGAAATTGGGGAAGAGAACTTATGATTTATGACTGGTATATTGAATATACCAATGACAACTAAATAATTCTCTCTGACCTTCTCCCTTGCCCTATTTTTGTGACTACTACTGAGCTCTAACTCTAACACGAGGCTTTATGGGCTGTAAGTATAATTGAATGGCTGATTTGTTATTACTTCATTATGCTTCTTTGTTATTGGAGTTAGCAGTATAATAGAATAGCACCAAAAATAATACCAGAAATTCAGCCAAGTTTAAGATACATCAGAATCTGAGGATACCCATAAAAATGGTTGTCAGTAAGTGTGAAGAGGATGGGAAGCTAGTAAGGACTCTTTACAGTGAGTGAATTCCTGAAGAAGTGCTGTGGATTTTGTAGCTGTGGTAATTATATTCAGAGTCCCAGTTTTGGGTGTATGAGGTTAACACCTCCTAATTTTGTGTATGACTTTTTAGATAAATTTGAACTGTCAGAAACATTTGTCATAGTTCTCCAGTTAATTCAATTTAATTTGAAATAGTGTCTTCATCACCATAAATTCCACAGATCAAAAGTAAACTCTTTTTTTCTCAAACCACCTCCTCCTTCTGATCTTTCCATTTCTTTTTACAGCAATGCTATTCTTCTAAGCATTTTGCAAATTATAAAACTTCACTTCTTTTCTTTATAATCAATTACTGAGTTCTATCAAATAAAAACTTTTTAGATTGGAATTAGAGGATTTCTCAGTCTGGCCACAAACCATTTTTCCATTTTTATTTTTCTCTTTCCCCTTACCTTTAATAATAGTTGTTTGTATATCTGTAATCATTCTCTTTTTGGATTTTAATCAGCTTGAGGATAGGGACTTTCTTTTGTACCTACAAGTATTTTCTGTGGTACCTTGTAGTAGTAGTATTCGATTAGTAGTTTAGTTTGAATTAGTGACTATCCTAGTGCAGACATTTTTACTTCCTTTAGTGTAAACATTTAAATGTAGTCACTGTTACTGAAAATTACTGAAATCATATGAAACATCATCTGCTCTTTTACTCTCTATTCCTTTGCATATTTTCATTCCTCACCCCCCTGCCTGGGGCACAATTCTCTTTCTGATTAAAGCTTTATGTTTCCAGACTAGACGATGTGTTTCTCCTCTATGTCTTTACTGCTGTACGTAAACTATCATAATTGCCTGATGACTTATTTTACTGTACTTGTATTCTACAGTTAACTCATTGAGGGCAGTACTTAACACACAATCTGAAGTGTGTGTAATAGGACTCAATACTGATGTGTTGAATAAAATATTCCATAAATGGGGGTATAAGCATTTGAGTGTGGTGAATTCTTAGTTGGTTATTCTCAGTGCCTTTCTGTACCATGTTCTAGGTCTGATAAAAGTGGAAGTATGTGTCTTAGAACTAAGTATTTCCTTCACTACTTAAGAGCATGAGTTTTGTTTTTGAAGAGAAGCTCACAAAATGTCCTTGTAGGATCCAGTACAGATTGAACATGTAGGATGTTCATACTTAGGTTAAATCAGGTGGACCTGTCATTTCCATTTAATATGGTCAGATTGCTCTTCTGTATAAAGCTTCCTTTTGACAGAAATATGAATAATGTGAACTGAATGAGACTACAAGTTTATTACTGGTCTGCAGGCATGCATCGTTTCATGATTTGGCTCACATTTATTGACTGTTGTGTGTCAGGCATTGGCAAATAGCAAATACTTGTAGCAACTTAAGTATGAAGATTTATTTCCCACTATTCTGTTTTGCTCAGATACATGTTTTATAGTGGTAAAGGCTTAAAACAACAACTCTTTGGTGGCTGCATTTAGCTGGTAACTTAGTTCCAGACTAGATGCAGCTGATATATATATATATATATATATATATATTTTTTTTTTTTTTTTTTTTTTTTTTTTTGAGGCCTCCAACTCTCCATCCTCCTGCCCTGACCTCCTCCTGAGTAGTGGGATTGTAGGTATGTGCTACCATGCCTATACTAATTAGTAATTTTAATAATAATTTTTTGTAGATGTGAGGATGTTAGATGTGGAAGGTACCCACAAAGTTTCTTTCAGGTAAGAAAGGACTTTCCCAAGGTCACATAGCTATAAGTGGCAGTGCTATAACCAGAATCTTTTGTTCCTGTGTTTTTTAAGTATTCACAGTACTTTCAGTTACCCAGGAGGGAGGTGGAATACAGTTTGAATTCTTAAGGAATTATTTCAAGGGGTGATCAGTGAATGTACCTTTTAATAATTATAAAAACTTCTTGGGCTAGAGGTGTGGCTCAAGTGGTAGAGCACCTGCCTGGCAAGGCTGAAGTCTTGAGTTCAAACTCCAGTACTGCCAAAAAGCAAAAAACAAAACTTCTCATATCAGCCTTCTTGTTATTTGGAGCCTATGTCCAGTTGTTGGTAGCATCTGAGTTAAATGTTCTTCAGTAATAATGTGTTAGACTAAATACCTAACATTAAATTTTTCTTCCTAAACATCTGCATACCTGACTTCTGTGAGGCCCTGGAAAATAAATTGATATAAAAGCCACATTTTAGTATTTTGTTAGATAAAAAATTTGAAAGGAATTTTAAAAATATTTACATTTGATTCATTTTAGGTCTCTTGCCCTGAAGCTTAACTATGCATAGCCATAGGAGTAAAATATTAAAGGCCTATCTAAAATAATTTTCTTCTTCTAGAATTGGAGGCATATGCTGGAGTTATCAGTGCACTTCGGGCACAGGGGGATCTCACCAAGGAAAAGAAAGATCTTCTTGGAGAACTCTCAAAAGTTCTTAGGTAAATTATCATAAAAGTTTGGGAGTCATGACTCTAGAAATTTCATTTTGAGGGGGTTCATTACTTTTCACTCTCAAATTAAATTGAGGAACAGAGGTATTCAAATTATTGGTGCTTGGAGATCCTATCCTGGGTTGTGTGCTGTTATAGAAAATTCTGCCTTTACCCTTTATTCTGTCATCTAATCAGAAAGGGTTTAAGGCAGATATTTTGGGGTCATCTGGGAAAGAGAAGTACTTCTGACATAGATGAAGGAAAGAAGAGCTGGCAGCAACTGGATATAAACATGTAGAGTGGCTTTTGTTGGAGGGAAGAAAGGGATGCAAGGAAGATGCCTCAACAGATTAAAAAAAGGTAGTGATTATATAGTTATAGCCATTAGCGTACTTTGTTCCTTCAGTTGCACTAGCGTGGCAGTTGAATCCAATAAAAAAAAATTCTAGTGAAAGGGATTATTCCTTGATGCTTTGTCAACTCATTTTAACATCTCGAACTTTCTCAGAAAATGGTCTGCCTTGACTAAAGTTTGCTTTCTACTTGTAAAGCCATTTTGTCCTATTCTTTTTTAAAGTGAAAATATAGAAGAGGCTCTTCCTATTACTTAATTAAAATTAAATAGCAATTTATTAAGTTGAATTCTGAGTTTTATTATTTTGTTGTTGTTATGTTTCCTCATGATTTCTGCTTTCTAGCCCCTTAAATGTTTCAGTCCATCCTACAAGTTTAGCATAAGTAGTAAACAATACAGTTGGAAGAGAGGTGTTCATTGTATAGAATATTTATGAATAGTGTGGGTATAGCTTTAAGAAATTGTGTGTTACCTTTATATGTGTTTAATATAAGTACAGAATCAGTATAAGCACATTTTTATCATTGGCAACATAATGTATGGAAGATACCTAGCTGTATGTGTTGAGTAATAAAAGATTATTACCTTGGTGTCAAGTTTCTTTTCATATAGCCACAGGAAACAGATTATTTTGCCATTCTCATTTCTTTTATTGTATTCACTAAACATAAAATTAATAGACTCTTAAAATTTAGACAAGACTTAAACTTTCTTCTAAGTGACCAGATTTTCTTCTCAGCAATCATGATTTAGGAGGTCACTGAGCAGCATCCGTTTGCATGTTTAGATAACAGGAAGCTCTGTTAATCTTGTCCGTGGCCTAACATTTTTGAGATCTGGAA